TTGGGCAACTAGCTGGTAAGGCCCTGTAAGCAAAGCAAAGTTAGGAAATTAAGCCCCAAGAAGGGAGCAGCCACCTACCTCTGAGGGCAAGCGGAGGTGTCCATGGACACTGGAGGTCCAGGTGTCCGTAAATGGTGGCGTAAAGCCAGCCGGTCAAAGAGTAGCCTGTACCTTCTGAGGAGGGAAACCAGGTCTCTTCAGACCCCTTTTTGGTCTGAAAACGTGGCAGATCCCTCAGAGGAGCCCACGAACTCTGAGAGGGATCCAGAGAAGCTCTGTGAGTCCTTTTTTTTTCAGACTCACAAAATCGTGATAGTAGGAAGAAGTCTCACAAGGAGACTTCTGACGGATCGTGCCCTTTAGCAATAGGGAAATCCCGTTATAGAAACACGGGAGGTTCTAATTCAAGGGCGGAAGTAGGTTTCCCTGTTGAGAGCTTGCTCATAGCCTGGGACAGGAATCAGCTACCTGTCCAGCCGGGAATGGAAAAGAAGTAGATAAAGAAACTATATGGGGAAAAAAAAATACAGACTTTGCTTAGGGCTTTGCTGGGAAACCAATTTGGCTAAATAAAAGTACTTAAAAGGGAAAATAAGAAATAGTGATTCTCTCTCTCTCTCTCTCTCTCTCTTTTCTCTATGCAACCACGTGCTATGTTTAAAATGTGTGCCTTCCCTAACTTGAGTTATCTGAAATTTATGATGGGAATGACTAGGATGTGTAAAACTAAGACTTCTGTTCTTTGTGTATATATGTTTGTCAAAGTCTGTGCGTGAGAGGTAAATGTGACTGTTAACTGTTTCAAATCCAAAGAAAAAAGCATTTTAAATTCTGCTAGAAATTATGCTTAAAAATAAGCCACAAAAAGGAAATACCTCACTCTGTTTGTCTGGCCAACAAACAGAGTGAAGAAAAAAAATATGTTTGTTTGTTTGTCTGTCTTCCTCTTTCTCTCTGTGTCTTTAAGAACAGCCTTAAGTTAGCAGGAGGGAATGTTTTAAGTTCATCTGCTAGAGGTACCCTGGAGGTCATCTAGCCCAACCCCCTGCTCAGGCAGGAAACCCTATACAAACTTTATCAAATGCCTTACTGAAGTCCCAAAAAATTATATTCACAGCATTCCTCTACTTCACTAATTTTGTAACTGGGTCAAAGAATGCAGTAAGATTTGTCTAGCATGATCTGTTTAACAAACCCATTTTGGCTTTTAGTAATGACTTTGTTTGCCTCTAGGTGCTCGCTAATTATCTTTTCCAGGATCTTCCCAGGTATTGAGGTCAGGCTGATAAGTCTGTTGTTTCCTAGATCTATTTTTATTTTTATTTTTGAAGAAGGGAACTACATCAGCTCTTTTCCAGTCCTCTGGTAGTTCCCTAGTGCTCCAGGGTCTTTGATAAATATAGTTCAGTGGTTCTGAGATCACATCTGCCAGTTCCTTGAGAACTTTGGGGTGTAATCCATCTGATCTTACTGATTTGAACTCTTCTAGGCTGGATAGGCGCTCCCTTACCATTTTCTTGCCTATCTTAACTTGTGTTTCTAATCTTTTTTTTATGGTACTGTTTTTGATAAGTTGGACTGTTTGCTTTTTTATTATTTTTGACTGTGGTCACAAGCCTTAGTTTATTTTGAGCCTTAGCTTTCCTCACCTCATCTTTGCAGGCTCAGACTATTTGCTAATATTCTGCTTTAGTTATGTGTTCCTCTTTCCACTTTTTAAGTTTATTGAAATTAGCTCTCTTAAAGTCCAAGGCTCTAGTTTAACTATTCTATTGTCATGTGTTTCCTATGTACCTTAGTTAGCTGACTAGCAAAAAGTTCATCTATTTCTCCTTTTATATTGATCCAAATGCATTCAAGACAGTTTCCATCATTGTTGTACCCTAATTCTATAGATATGTAGTTATTTCTTATATAGAGAAAGAAACTCTGCCTCCTCTTTTATTTGGTCTGTTTCTTTTAAACAATTGAAATCCCTCTAGTTGAGTTTTCATTTGTGGGTTTTATCCCACCATGTTTCTATAATGACAACTATATTATATTTGCCCTCATTCTTTATGACTGACACCTATGTCAGTTAGTCTACTTTGTGTGACACTATTAGAAGCTTGATGTTGCTTGATAGCAAGATTGATATTCTTGTCCACACACATCTATGTTACTTGCGCTGCTAACCCTGTAATTTTTTGATCTCAATTAACTCACTGTCCCTTGTTTAGTTTAAATATTCCTCCAGAAAATCTGTGAGTTTATTGCCAAGTAACTCAGTCCCTTTCTTTGATGGATGTAAACCATTTCTTTTGTACATTGTTTCATTGGAATACCATTTCAAGGTTTCCAGAATTGTCATTTCTGATTTTTTTTGGTCAGTGTCTGTTGTTGGGTTAATTTCCTTCTCAATTCTGTCTAAAAGGTGTTAATTTTTGTTCCAGGGGGAATCCAGTGTTAAATTCTTTTATTGGAGTGAGGAGGGGCAGAAACCCTGCCTGCTGGGTTCCTGCCCCAAGCTCTGGAAAATCATTCTGCAATGTGTTATAAATGAGTTTGTGTCCTAAATGGGTTTTATCTGTCTATCCTTTTCCTGAAAAAGGTGTCTATCTACAAGAGCCTTTTGAAACTCAAGTCTGCTTGTGTGAGGAAATAATTTTCTTAAGTTACTTTTCGTATCCTATCATTTATTGGTGATACTACTATGAAACTTTTCTTATCCCAAATATATAAGCATTTCTCAATCTCTAAAATAATGTGGTCTATTTTAGAATAAATGTTCTCCTACCTCTGGAAAGTTGCACACCTTAAAATATTAGGTTTTTAAAATTATTTGGAGTTTTCAGCATTCTCAAGCTGCCTAGCATTTTTTTTCCTTTCCCTCTTCCTTTCAAGTTGCAAGTTCTTGTCCTTAATATGTTGCAAATGGTCGAGTTCAAAGGTGAAACATTTCATTTTGTTGTTCTCCATTTGTCTGTTTCTTTAATAACTGCAGTATTAATGCCTTTTCAAAATGCCTGCAAGCTTCCAATTTTTTTTCCTGCCCTTTGTTCTCCATACCTTTTGTCTGCCTCTCCTGGGAGAGTCCACCCAGAAAGGGGGGGGGAGACCTTGTTCTTGTATCTTTCAGCCCTGCAATCCTCTCCCAAACCTTTGGAAGCAGAACACACAGACCCAGATGCTGCCTCCATCCATTTGAGCCATGGAATTGGGTTTTGGATTCAGCTATCCACTAAAAAGCCACCATGCAATCTGAATGGAAAATCTTCCCAAGTCCTACCATTCCCCAGATGCCTGTGAGAGCTGCAGAAGGAAGGATTCCTGGTGCCATGTGAAGCCTCAGAAGAGAAAATTAGACTGTGGGGGAGGGTGGAAACTCATTGTAAACTTTTCTTTCTTGCCCCATTTGTATAGTAACAAGCCAGTTGGATGTGTTAATGGAGAGATGGCATTTGGGAATAGGTGGCAGAACAAGTACTGAACACCTTGGACTTCTATCTGATGGGAGGGAAAATTTATCCAGAATGTTTGTATTGACTATTTTGTAAAAGTAGCTGCACATACATACACACACCCACACCATTCAGAATCACACTTGAGTCTATCCCCTCCACCTACCTTTAGTAAAGTTCCCCAGGCTGATTTTTGCTCTATTGCACCAAAGCTTTGTGGGATCAACTTCCAACAGATTCCAAGGGGGAGGGAACTAGGCCCCCTCAGGTGATTTGCAATTCATATGCCCTGACTAAGGAAGCAACAGGAAAAATCCCAAACTTCAGCCCTGAATATCTTGCACTGTTGGGCTCAGATTGGGATTCCTAGAGCTCATTATCTGCAATTTAAAGAAAAATTTAATAGCCTGGCATACTGGCTAACCTCAATTGGGCATTACAAACCTGGATGCACTGAATTAAGAGCTAAGGCAGGAAACAACCCTTGAAATTGGGCAGCCAGTGGTCATGTACTAAGGAGAACCATGGCAGTGAAGAATTTTGGGAGGTATGCAAACCTGACTGGAAGCTAACGGTGATATCCAACATTTGAAAATGATTGGCACAGAATATTGGACACTATAAATTTCTTTTCCACCTAACAAAATTTTGCCCTGACTTTTAGAACTTAATGGGTGCAAGCTCCCCTTTTGGGAGCCACTAAAGGGATCTTTTTCTGCTGCCTCCATTAATGTCTTTTTTTTCTTAATAGTTTGAAAGCTTGTTTACTAAGTTTCCCTGACCAGATCAATTTTAATGTTGTGCCAATAAGTGTGTCATACATTTACACACTTAAGGCACAAAGTGGGGATAATTGTTAGAAGTAAAGTCTTCATCCTGGTTCATTCAAGCCAGGAATAAATAAGCAAACATGGCAACTGCTTTGGGAAGAAGGTTACAGTTTATTGCAGAAAGATGGTTCTTCAGGAAAGTGCAGAGGAGAGAAGGGCTGAGCACATGGTGTAGTAGGTTTTTATACCCCCTCTAGCCTTTTGTTTGGAATAGTTTCCTGTTCCTGTGGCATGAACCTTGAGGCTGTTTCTGAGTGTTTGTCTAGGCCTTGATATCTGTGGTTTAATTCTATTATCATATCCTGCTTCCCAGGTGATGGGGCTGACTCCTAGAGTTTGGGTGGGGTATGCAGATCTTCTCTTTTGTTTTCTTGATTGCTCTGGCTCCAACTTTCTGATGGTTTTACATCTGCATTTGTATGGGGCTAACTCTTGCTTGGGAGAAAGAAATTTGGGGCCAGGTTTGGTTTCTGCTTTTCAAAAAAAAAATCCTTTTGGTGAAAAATATTTTTTCCTTTTTAATATTTCCTTCTGGGGGGGGGGCTAACTTCCATCACCACACACTCACCACCTCCTGTGCATGTGCCTAGGGGGCTGCTGGGCTGGGTGGGGTCGAGTGGCAGAGGCCGGTCCCTTGCTGTCTTTGGGGTGGTCCCCTGGGCCAAATATGTATATAAATCAGTAGCCACCCAAGGAGAAAACAGAATTTTCTTTTCATTGTTTATTCCAGATAGTACAACTGAAGTTTTTACAAACATCTATGTGACCAGTTTTGGACCAGTTTCAGATACTGACATGGTGAGTATGGCAACTAAAATAACCTCTGATATACATATAGTGTTTCTAGAACATATATGTTTGTTTGTTTGTGTGTGTGTGTGTATTCTAGAACACTTTTAGATATTTCTTTCGAACATTTGTCTTTTGGCCAATTGTCTTTTGTGGTTTCTTTGATTTAATACATAGATCAGGCCCACATGCTGAGATCCACCTGAAACTTTCTAAAACCTACAGGATTATTTGGAAGGATCCCTGGCCTCAATCCAACTAGCATGGCTTCCAATGAGCCCCTATTTTTTTTAATCATCCCAGTGTTAATGTTTTTATTATGAAGTCTTACAATCTCTTCCAATAAGATTTGGCCATTCAGTGCTTTCTTTTTGGGAAGGAATAATGAGATTTCTCACCCACATGTGAAGTAAGGGGAAGAAACTGGTAATATGCATTCTTAGCAGCTGCCCCCACATCCTTTTTTTATTAAAAAAGTTTTTATTTTCCATTTATTCATACAAAATACAATTAAATTCCTAACCATTGGTACCGCCTGCCCATTCCCCCCAGGCTGCGTCCACCCTCTCTAATCCTTCCCCACTTCCCTCCTCTTTCTCTCCTCCCCTCCTACTCTCTTCCCTTCCCCTTCTCCTCTAACCATCCTAGTTCCTCCCTACTCCTTCCTCCCCTCTCATCCCTCTCACACACATGAATGCAGCATAGGGGAAATGCCCAAGCGTTTACCATGACTATATTATCATTACCCACCCACCCACCCACCCTCAACCCTCCCCCCCTCGCTTCCCAGAGCAGAGTACAGGGTTATTAATAAGAAAGTTAACAATAATAAAAAAAAGAAAAAAAGAAAGAAAAAAGAAAAAGAAAGAAAAAAACATCATACTTAACCTTTAACTCCCCTTAAATTAAGTCATATAAACAAATCTCTACAACAGTTACTATAAAATTTACTCATAAAATAAATGAAACTTTATAGTCCCATATTTTTTCTGAATATAATCTATCCATCTTCTCCATACAATAATATATCTTTCTTGTGTATGATCCTTCAAATAAGCAGAAATTTTTGCCATTTCTGCAAAGTTAGAAACTTTAAATATCTATTTTTCTAAAATAGGCAACGAGTCCTTCTTCCAATACGAGCCTACTAATAACCTTGCTGCAGTTAATAAATTCAACATTAAAGTAGTTTCTTTGTCATTTAAATCCACAAAGATACCCAATAGGAATAATTGAGGGGTGAACTTTATCTTCCTTTTAAAAATCTTTTGAATGTTCCACCAAATCATAATCCAAAAAGCCTTTACCTTTTTACAATTCCACCAAACATGAAAATATGTTGCATCCATATTACCACATCTCCAACATTTGGGTTGTAAATTTGGATACATACAAGATAATTTTTTAGGAGCTAAATGCCATCTGTAAAACATTTTATAAAAATTTTCCCTCAAATTTTGAGCTTGTGTAAATCTAACATTTCTAATCCAAATTGTCTCCCATAAGTCCAATGGGATCGGATCCTGGATATTCTGAGCCCATTTAATCATACAGTCTTTAACCAATTCTGTTTCAGAGTCTAATTCTATTAAAGCATTGTAAATTCTTTTTATATGGGCCTGACTCTGATCTTTAATCTGAATAAACAGATTTCCATCTTCTAGTGTTATTCCTTCTTTTTTATCTACAGTCCACCTGTCCACTATTTATAAATATTGAAGCCATGACTGTAGAATATTTTCTTGCCTTAATACATCTAGAGATTTTAAATGCCAATCCGAACCTGACCAAGTTAATAATTCTTTATACGAAATTTTATCAAAGTTCATCCCCTTAGAAATCCCCTCAATTGCATGTCTAGGAATCCCCCAGATAGGTATTTTATAGTTTAACCTGTAATAATACTTTTTCCAAACTCGAAGTAAGGCACTCCTCAAAATATGTGATTTGAAAGCCCTGTCCACTTTCTTATTAAAAATTAAATATGCATGCCAACCATACATTAAATCCCATCCTTCAAGAACAAGAATATCCTTATTTGTTAAATTAAGCCAATCACTTATCCAAGTTAAGGCGGCTGCATCATAATATAATTTCAAATTGGGTGCTTTAAGTCCTCCTCTTTCTTGGGCATCTTGCAAAATCTTAAACTTAACCCTTGTTTTTTCCCCAGCCCAAATGAATTTATTGATACCCTTCTGCCATTCCTCCAAATTTACATCTTTTTTTAAAATAGGTATCATCTGAAACAAGAAAAGAAACTTTGGTAGAACATTCATTTTTACAGCTGAAATTCTCCCCAACAATGACAATTGCAGTTTTTTCCAGTCATTTAAATCCTTTTGCACTTTTGCCCATAGTAATTCATAATTATTTTTATACAATTTTCCATTTGAGGCAGTTAAATATACTCCCAGATATTTAACCTTTTTCACCATCTGAAAACCTGTGGCTTTAACCAAACTTTCCTTGTCATTGGCTAACATATTCTTAGATAATATCTTAGTCTTATGGTTATTGACTTTAAAACCAGAAACTTTTCCATACTGTATTATAAGTTCTAATAGACAATCAACCACTCTAATCGGTTGTTCCAAAATCAAAACCAAATCATCCGCAAAAGCCCGTAATTTATACTCATTTTTTCTTGGATTTAAGAATGTAATTCTTAGGCTCTGTAAGATCTTGATCCTCCTTCGGAATCAATGATATAAACGTTCTTTTCCAAGAAGGAGGAATTTGTGCTCCCAGCAAGATACTATTAAAAAGCTCCTTTAATGGCTCCAACATTTCTTCATATAAATTTTTATAATACGTCGACGTCAATCCATCTGTTCCTGGAGACTTTCCCACCTTTAACTGCTTGATAGCTAAGCCAATTTCCTCCACAGTAATTAAACAATTCATCCCATTTTGCTGTTTCTCAGAAAGTTTAGGAAAATGTACTGATTGTAAATATTTATCTATATCCATTCCCTTTATATTATCACTTGAGTATAATTTTGTGTAAAAATCTAAAAAACTCTTTTTAATCAAATTTTGCTGAAAAACTTCAGTACCTTTATATTTTACTTTCTCTATAATCCTAGCCTTCTGTTTCTTTCGTAACTGATAAGCTAACCACCTCCCAGGCTTATTCGCATTACAAAAAGTATTATGTCTCATATAACGCAAATTGGTAGCCATCTGATCTGCCATCAACATATTAAATTGTTCCCTAAACATCTTTAAGTTATTATCAGTTGGATTAAGAGCAAGCGCTTCTTCTTTTATTTTAATCTCATCTTCTATTTCTCTACGTCTTTGTATCCTTTTATCCCTAGAAACTTTATTTAAATGAATTAAAATTCCCCTCATATACGCCTTACTGGCGTCCCAGACCATGGGCATCGATGTACCCTTATTCATATTTAAAGCAAAAAACTCCTTTAAATACTCTTTACATTTTTGTACAAACTCTCCCTGGGTAAACAAATTCTCATTCAGTCTCCAAGGCCTTCTGTTCCCATCTTCCAAGTATAGCTCCATCCACACAGGACTATGGTCTGAAAGGGTCCTGGGAACCATTTTTACCTTTCTCACCCTAGAAAGAAAATCACTAGTAATTAAAAAGAAGTCAATCCTTGAAAATGACTGATGTCTATCCGAATAGAAGGTAAAATCTCTATCACTTGTGTTCCTTTCTCGCCAAATGTCAATAAGTTCCAACTCTTCTTTCAAATCAAAAAAAGTTTCGGGTAATTTAGTTTGAGTAAAATGTTTTGAAGAGCTCTTTTTATCTATAGTTATATCCATAACTCCATTCCAGTCACCCATCAAAATTTATAATCCAACTGGGATATCTTCCCATGCAAAAGCTTATAAAATTGCTTCTGTTATTGATTAGGGGCATATAATCCAACAATAAAAACTTTCTTGCCTTGTAACAGTAGTTCCACAAAGACATATCTTCCTTAAAGATCAACCTCAATTAATTTAGCCGATAAATTTTTCTTCACATAAATTACAACACCCTCTTTTTTCCCTGGAGCTGGAGCTATAAAATGTGATCCCAAACGAGAATTTGTCAAATATTTTGAGTCCTTTGAAGTTATATGAGTCTCTTGCAAACATATCAAGTCATTATTATGTTGTTTCAAATAGTAGAAGACCTTTCTCCATTTCTGAGGTGAATTTAAGCCATTAACATTCCAGGTCAGGAACTTGGCCATCTACACCAGCCTGAAGCCTTTGAAGCATAGCCTGAAGATCAACTGTCGAAGATCTTTTAGGTCTTGCCCCTCCCACAGGCTCTGTAGTAACTATTCCTTCTATTTTATCGCCACTCTTCTGCTGCTGCTCTTTTTCTTTATGTTTATGGGCAGCTCGTGTCATCCTCTGATCTTTTATCTCAAGATTCTGTACAGGCAACACTGCTTGTTCCATGACCATCAATGAGGAAGCTCCTGCCATAACGGGCTCTTCAATTATCCTTGTTTGTGGAGGTGAAGACAGTCTTGCCTTTAGAATAGAGTGATAGAAATCTCTTGCCTTTAAAACTGTAGTTAATCTGTAACGTATTCCATCATAATTCACTACTATTCCTTTTGGAATCTCCCATCTGAACTGGATTTGACGACGTTTTAACTCATCAGACAGAAAAGTAAAATCTTTTCTACCTCTTAAAATTTTTGGAGGTATTTCTTTTAAAATTATCACATCTTGAGCTGCAATTTGAAACCTCTTTTTATAAAAAGCCTGTATAATTTCATTACGAATAGATCTTCTGGAAAAGTAAATAACCACATCTCTTGGTAAATTTCTCTGTCTGGCCACCCGTGAGTTGACTCTGAAGATTTTTTCTATCTCATTCCCAACTACTTCTGGTCTCCATCCAAGATTAAAAGCGATATCTTTAACAATAAGCATCTTCAAATCTTCCTGGGAATTTTCTTTCAAACCCCGGATACGCAATGCGAACTCCATTTCTCTGTATTGTGAAATAGTTTGTTCATCCTGTGTAACTTCTA